GCCCGCCGCCCCCCCCCTCCGCGGCCTCCTCCCTAGTGAGCCCTTAAAGCTGTACCCGCAGACTCTGCACCTACTCCGTATTTCTTTACCCCACTGTGCCCTAGCCTTGCCACCCAATTCCCTATTTTGTTAACTTCGGAGGTGTCACATTGCCTGTCCGCCCTGGCGTCTTTCCCTTCCCTAGTCAGGGTTTTGGGGGTCAGGGCCATTCTTCCTGAGCCAGCCTCTGATATCGGCTACTCCCTTCCTGTGGTGGGATAAATCAGCCCCTTCACCCTCCCCTGCTCTGCCTAGGAAGGCTGGTGAGATGGGGTCCAATCCAGCATGGAGGTCTTTGGGGACCACAGGTGGGGATGTGGCATCCTTGAACCCTTTTCATAAGTCTTTACCCTGCTATCCGTAGGCGTGGGTTCCTTAGACTCTCCTCCCAGGGTGTGGGCACCCGGATCACCCACATTCCTAGGCTACAGCCTGGCACCTTCCCCAGGCCGGTGAACGCCATAGCACTAGCCCCAGGTTGGGTTTGGGACCAGTCTGTTTCCTTTTCCCTTTGCTTTCCTTTTAGGAAGGGTCCCCCTCCCCAAGCCTTGCCTTCCCCTCCCCAAGCTTTGCCCAAAGTTCCCCCCTCAAGGTACAGGTATTCTGGGTCTCCCTGTCGGTGGAGTCCTGGGGGTTGATATTGTGCATACAGGATGACGACACCCTCCCCTGCCCATTGTCCTGGATCCTGAGGAGGAAGTACTGGGGGCTGGGCAAGGGGTTTGGGGACCACAAGGCAGGCCCTGTGGATCCTTGTTTCAGGCTAACCCTTTAGCCCTTGGCCGCTGCTCATGTGTGGGGTTGTCAGATGTGAGAACTGATCTTCACCTCTCCCTTGCTGACCCTGGAGAAGAACTATAGATTAGGATTTTATGATTGGAGTTTTTGTCTCCTCTTAACGTCTCTTCTCAGCTTCCAGTTTGTGCTTTGGCCCCAGAGCCCTCTCCCTGTCTTTTCAACATCTCTGTGTCACTCCTTCCTTTTCTTCTGCCAGTCTTTCTTTTATAGCCTGACCTCAATCTTGCCTTTTGTCTGATTCCTCTCATTTTCTTGGTGTCTGTAGCTTTCTGTCCCTACTCTTCCCTTCCTGCCACCCTCAGTGTCTCTGCCCATGTGTTCTACCCTCTGAATCATCCTCTGTCCAATCTGTGTTTCCTTCTCTCTCTCCCTCTCCTCTAACTGAACGCTCAGTACACTTGTGAGTGACTCGGAATAAAAATATCACTGTCTCTGCCCTTGGATTCACATTGCATTCAGCCACTCCAGAGGGGTGGCTTGCCTTACTTTCCTAACATCTCCCTATCCCTTGCTCTCTAAACACAGAGCCCCAGACAGAACTTTGGAGCTACAGGTGCCTCCTGACTTCTCTGCCCCCTCCCCCAATCTGGGTTTCCCTTACTGCCCTGCTGGTGTGGCCAGGCCCCAAGTGTAGGATGGAGCTTCCCATAC